AAGATGGCTATATCATTAATTACCTTCGTGTAGGACCTGTTCTTGGATAAGTCTGGTCTGTCTGAGCAGATTTTGTTTAGCAAGCTATGCTAGACCATCCTGCTCCTTCCCTCATCCCTGTCCTTCCACCTAATACCTCTGCAAAAGTTTCTTGATCTCTCTCTGACAGTGACACAAACACTGGAAAGGAAATTCCCCTTATCTGGTGCCGTAGGAAGGAGATTTGTTCTAATGGACTATGTTCTTCATTTCTCACTAACCTGAAGTAAGTGTGGGCTGTGGAAACAAGGAAGAACTTCTGATGGCTTTCTTTTCTCGACTGTTTACTCAGTACTTTGAAATCTACTTAATCATCAAAAGGAGATGAGAGAACAAGGTCATGAAAGGTTATAGTTGGCTGCCTCCTACATCGTTACTCTTAGTAGGTTATGGCAACAGAAGTGCTGAGTCACAGGAAATAATACTGAGAAAATGTTTTCTGTAGTCTTTTATTGTTCAGCACTTGTAAATAAAAATAAATAGAAAGTCTTATTTTGAAAAGGATTTCAATCATAAAACTGTGTAATGCGGTAGTAGTGCTTTCATGGTAAAGTAACAGGTGATTAACAAGAAACTCTGTATATGTCTTAATTAAACTAGATTATTTTTAGCACAGAAGGGTGTTACTTCCACATATTTTTCTCGTGTACTCGCAACGCACTCCGGAATGTCTCTGAGTCATTCTGCTGTGTATAATGATGCAGATTTCTAATGCCGTATTTCACCTCCTTACCGAGGCCATTGAGAAGCGAGTAGCATGTATTCAGCGAGAAGCAGAACAGATTACGTAGTGAACTCTGCCATAATGGGATCATGGTAAAAGAGAAGAAAGTCAGACTCCTGTTCTGCTGTGTCGCTACAGAAACTAGTATAACCAGCTAAATTAACCCTCAACACGAAATGGGAACAATTTAACAAGCATTGCATCCAGCCATAATGTTTTACTTCTCAACAACAAAAGAATACAAGAGAAGATTTTAAGAGATCTTGGTTTAGGAGAATTTCTTAATCCATAAAAACAAGTAAATCTGGAGCTGAGAGTACAGCTGTGCTTTTTTTTTTTTTTCTCCTTTCTTTAAAATCTACAAAGGGCAACATAATGTTCATTTCCCCCTATGTCATCATGACTTACAAGTAGTTAATGAGCACACATTTAGTAATGAAGATAGAAAAAGTAAATGTCAGGTTGTTACCCCTTTCATGTAGAGGCTGATCGTTGTACAGATGTTCCTAGGACTTCTTTTAAGCATCATTTGTTATTGTTAACTGTTGGGAATGCCCAAACATTGGCGTGGTTACTGATACACAGAGCACGAAATAATTTTCTTAAAGCTATAACAATGTCTTTGGCCTATTTTTAATAAGGAGACTATCCAAAAGGGAGTAGAAATTAGCTAGCATCCTGCCTGGCCTTCAATAAAGCTGATATTTTTTTAGATTTATTATGTTGCTATGCAAGCAGCTTGTTGTGTTGACAGCGAACCCATTCGCTAGCATTTGGATTGTAAAGATATGCTTATTTTACCCTTTTTAGTTTTCTACTTTTAATTAGAATATTTTATAACCGTAATGTGTTCTGTGTGCATGCAAAATACCAGGTGGACTGTTTGAATTATGCCTTGGGCCTTCTGCTTTGTCACTGCCTTCCCAGCCAGCAGCGTGTCCATCATTGCTGCTTGCTTCTTATTCCAAGGAAGGAAGATGAAGTCGCACGTAGTTTGTATGTTTGCGGGATACTTTCCGTGTCACTTGTTAATTTCCAATTGCAAGCGTAAGTTTTTGCGAGTGCTTTTGTGACTACTTGGTAATCACTTCCAGTTTTGTTTCCAACAGTGTTTATTTCAAGCCGGTAGGATTTTGTGCCGTGTTCCTACTGGTCAGAA